GGTGGAAACTAGACTACTGATAAACTGTAATATAGATGCTGTTGTGTCAATAATTAATTATAATATAGCAATATAATATGTCGAATCTTTTTACGATGTTTCAAGTTCTAAACTTTATTGTCGCTATTGATTGCAGTCTTTATTTAAAAAAAAAACTGAATAGTAGCATCAAAATTAAAATCAATTACATTGTAAGCATGATGATCGAATAAAATATAATCTGAATATTTCAATTTCAGGCGCAATTTATCTTATAAACTGTACAATATTTCTATACTTTACACAGGGTTAAGAAAATTATCATTCTTTTGAGTATTTTGATCTTCAAAGTAAAAAATGTCATATACACGATTATGTACATGATTTTGAACGCAAATTATACCACAGCTTGTTCGCTTTTATCATAGAATTTATAAGACAATTAAGGCAAGAAAAATTATATTTTTATATAAATCGCATCTTTAATCATATCTAAAAATAATTAAGAAAGCTAAAAATCATACTTTCATATTATCGGACCAATGCACAATGCTTATATTACGATTTGGTGTATGCATCTACACATGTTACATCTCTTCAGTATATGCATCTACACATATTACATTTCTCCAACTTTTCCAACGATTTCTATAATGTTTGAAATAACAATATGTACATAATATTTAACAATTTGTACTAATGATTTCCTGTGTTGCTTTTGGCAAAATGCCCTCATAAAATAACAAACTACTCTTCTTGTGTTGTTAATAATGCATCTACCGCAATATTATTTTATGATCTTGCCGTCGATGACGCTTTGTGCACGAGTTTTCATTTTCTTTTTATCAAGCGCAGTTTTAAGGTATACGCTGACACGTTTATCCATCATTAAAATAATTTGTATTAAATGATGAAATTATGTGATGATTAATATTTATAATTATTACTTATATAATTATGAATAATAATAATTATATAAGTGTATTTGGATAACAGCCAAGCAATCATTATTAATTAATAATTATAATTATTGACTGATATCATTCTGTAATAACCCCAAACTTCAAATGTTTGTTCCATTAGCCCTATGTATCTTCACAAATAACTTTCCTCAGTGTGTCCCGTATTGTATCGTGCGTGGCAAAGCTGATTCCGACGGCAATAGGACCCTTTACCCAATTCATGCTTAAGCCTTTGTAAAAAGCCATTATTCCTTCTTCCCTGTAACATGCACAACGATAATTTATCAATATACTTCTATATAAATATAAAATTACATTTATTGGGGAAAACAGCAAAATATGTTATTAAATATATCGATTTCTATAAATTTCTGTAAATATTATCAAATGTATCTAACTATCTTTATATTTCTTTAAATTTAAAAGATATATTTTCTTTTTTCTCAACTCGGTCTCTAAATCGATTTTATAATTTATTCATAACTAGATAGTTGCTATACTCTACTATTATATTTTTAAATTTAAATGATGCGTAAATACTTACGTGTAAATTTTCACGACAGTCGACGTGATCGTGTGATAATGCTGGCCCTTGATCGCTGACGTCTGCATTCTCCGCCGCACAATGTCCAGTGGGTAGCTGCTTGTCTGACCGACCATTCCAGCGATGCCGCCGCAAATGAGCGAGGTCGAGAATCCCGGAATAGTCACCGTGTACACTGTTCATCGACACGTAGCCATCATCGAACATGAAGCACGCAGCACTTCGAAATACGCCGCCGGTCGGGCTTGTCTCGCGTCGCTATTAAAGTTAGTACCGTCCCAATATCAGGGGAAACAGGGTGCCCCCGACGTGCCCCATCGGTACCCTGCTTTACGATCATATACAACAGCCACTCTCATTCGTATAACCCTCGATTCTTTTCTTTTTTTTTTCGCATGTTTTATGTGTACGTGTGTATGTATGTGAGTACAAGCACCGTCACCGTCGACGGGCGTCAAGAGGATTCGTCGTGTGAACGGAATCGACTCACCGGTCAGTAAGTTTCTCAGCATGTCGTACGTGAAGAAGCTGCAACCGGCGTACGGGATGACACCGAGGATCGTGGCGGTGAAGCCACGGTAGTACGCCAATATTCCCTCCTCTTTGTACATACGCCAGAATGCCTGCCGCAGAGTCTTGTACTCGGTCTTCAGGGTTACCGCCATTCTCGCCCGCATCAGATCCAACGGATAGGTCATGGTTTGCGATGTCACACCCGCGAGTGCGCCGGCCAGAAAGCTCGCCCATGGTTTTTCTCTGTAAATATTCATATAACACGGGTGTGAAATCTGCGCATGGTATCCATGTTTAAATCGTAATAGTTGCTTTGTTTGCTAAAAATGTTTTTGAATTTTTCATGTGATACCTTTCCGCGCCGTTTATACTCAGAATTCTTTTCCACTGTTCGTGCGCAGTGAATTGCACCGCCGAATATGGTACTATCCTGACCATGGTAGCGCTGTTTCCACGCCACAAGCTGAGAAGGCCTTCGGTACGCATCGCTGAAGTTAAGAATCCTATCGCTGCCCTGGCCGAGTAGGGCTGCTTCGAAATTTGAAAATTGATCTTTGTACGATCTAACGGCGCTATCGTGGTCTTCGCAAAAGCTCCCGCTATCGCCCCGGACACCAGACTCGTCCAGACCCTTTGCGTATTTGAAATCTCCTTTCCGGTGCATTTTTTCTGTGTGCTCTGCAACGTACATACGTGATGTTGTTTTTTACTATATATAATATAAAACATAATTAATGAATATATTTATCATATATATAGTTATAAATATATTTATTGTTATTTTTTATTATATATAAAAGATAGTTAATGAATATAATTATCATATATCGTTATATTGTTAGTGCATAAATGTTACATTAAATAATATAAAAATGTCTTTGACAAGAAAGGTTTTCGCGTTACTTATGGGACTGATAATTTGTACAGTTGTGACATATCTCATTCTGTACACCGATATTATATTAGAGTTTTATATCGACAAACACAGCGAGATGAATGTATTTTCTTACTGCAACGTCCACATCTTGCCTCTCCATTGGCAGGGCCGATGTAGCAGGCAATGTCGACGTTACGTGTTTCCCAGCAATCGGCAGCACGGACACTTGAATACGTTCTAGAACCGCTTGACCACCCTCTCTGGGACGGGTTGCGTGCCCGCTCATCTCTGGCACACCCTGCTGTTCCGTTACCGTTGGACTCTCATACAGATCGCCGTCTTCCTTTTCGTATCGCTGACGTACACGGGCCGACACAAGATAACACTGTAAACATATTCGTTTTATGAAATTTAGTAGAAAAAAAAAACAAATTTTGGAGTCTCATGATCTAAACATTTAAATCATACATTATAGAAAAGCTTAAAAATGAGGATATTAAAAATTTACAGTTTCCAATAACTTACAACTTACAAGTGAATGATTAATTTCGGAATTATAAGAATTTAAAAAAAATAAAATAAAAAATGTCTTATCTATCTTTTTAAAATCCTTATAATTTCGAAATTAATCATTCACTTGTAAGTTTCTGAAGCAATCCACGATAGCTCTATGATATTATTTTAACAGTTTATTATCATGAAAAACGGAAGAAATTTAGAAAATAGGATATTGATAAAGAAAATGGAATTTGAAGGGAGAATGATTAAACTGTGTTCTAATAATGAAAGAAGATAAGAATTGCACGGCTCCTATAAGAAACAGACTGAAAGCTTAAATTTAATATTATCGTATGCTTATAGTTAGGTAATACTAACGTCAATGAGATCAAAGTACATGCTATAAGGTTCGTATTCTACAAATACAGAAAGCTCTAAATAAATTCGAAGAAAATAATTCTCGCGCGCGTATGCAATAAAACGATGACACTCGCGCCGAAATATTTTTACATTCTACATTTCACATTTGAAGTTGTGGAAAGCTGACAAAATTTGTTACGTTAACGGGCAAATAGAATGAGTGTTTTTATCTTTTTCATAACGTTATCATTTGTTGAAATGTTTTAAACATAAAAATGGAGATTAATTTATACAACAAATAACGATTAAGAGAGAAAATATACATATGCTTGTGACACGATAAGAATTATCTCCGGTATGCACTTGCATTTTTTTTTCCTCCCTAAGTATTGTAGTTTCTCACTATCAACTATGCAAATTTATAAAATACGTAATGCAAAACAGCAAGGTTAATATAGTTCTTACGTGACAACTCGCATATATATAGATAGATATTCTTGCTTACGAGGCATGTACGTATACGATGCAAATTAGATAATCGTTCTTTGCATCTATATATGATGGACCAAAAATATCTCGCAAGTATCGTCTTATCGATTTGCCAATTAGAGTTCTGCGAGAGATTTTAGTGGAGCAAGATTATCTCGACTATTTTTCGGAGAGATAAAACATTCTCTGTGGTAAAAAAAAAAAAACAGATAAGATACAAAGGTTGCTGACACAAAATAGAGAAATGACCGTTTCACTTTCTGTTTCATGCTGCCGACACGTTCATTTTTATCGAGACGTAAAACTTTCGCAAAGCAATTAATTTTCACCGATAAAAAAAATTTGTATCGCACATTGCGGAAGCAGACGGTAAAATTTCTGTACATAAATCGGAAAAAAAAAACTAATCTTTTTCTGGATACTAAGCAGAATTTGAAACAATAGTTGAAAAATATCCAATATTATTTTTGTCCAACTTTTTTTCGAGACAAGTTATCAAACAATTACAGTTTTTTTTCAATTTCCAAGAAAGTTTCCATAGTCTTCGACTACTAGAAATCTTATCTCTCTCTCTCTCGAGTGCACGCGTTTCTGTCACGCGTCACAGCATGATAATCATCGCGCATTCACGAGAAGATATAATACATTGCAGTAACAGATAGCTGCATTTATGCATAGTCATCTCTCGAACGTCACGCATCAAGATAACACGCATCGAAATAAACTGCTATATATTTAACTCCGAAAAGGAGCAAATATTCTTTCCGAGATCCTTTCGCAAAGGAAGCTCGTTGTAGAGCTTAGAAAATCTGCGTGACGCGTAGAGCAAATTATCTGTTTGGTCGTTTGATAAAAACAGATAGGGACCTTGGAGTATTTTTAGGATCCTCTGGAATTTCTGACATTGCATTCGGATTGCACTCGGAAACGAACGCTGCGATTTTTTCGCCATCTCATCAGAATGAGTTCGGCGAGCATCTGAAATTTTAAGACGCAAAGATAAAAGTGGACGGGACCTTCCAAACTTCCAAAAATTGAATTTTAGAATAGCTCCGAGCGCGATACTTATCTCCTTTTCTCGGTAATTTTATTAACAAACGACATGTACGATAAAAAGTACTCTGAGGAAACTCATGGTAAACATTGGATTCTTCCTGCGAATTCCGCGGTTCGGAGCTCCAGGTATTTTCTCGGATGAGAGACGCCAGTCGACGAGAATCAAGTCCAATTCTCGGACTCATCGGACTGACTGCGATTCACCTTGTAAAACGCTACGATACGCAACGCGCAACGTGAAAATGCGAGGATATTATGTAACGCGTAACGCGCCTGTTATCGACGCATGACGCTTGAAAATCTGTTTGCGAACGAAGACACGGAACGGACAGCGTAATGAAAAACGGATTGATCGCACTGCTGGAGCACGTGGGAAACGAATTGCGACAACGCGTAAGGCGCGTGCGAGATAAGGCTGCGTTCGGGGAGCGTGCTATCAGCGCTATTGCATCATTCTATCTTTATCGTTCATCAGGTGTAAAACAAGGACGAAATAAGCAAATAGCGCGCTCCCCGAATCCAGCTTAAAGCTGTCTCTCTCTCTCTCGGCGGGGACTGCAAACAAACATCTAACATTTCAATCCGCGCGCGACTAAAAAACACCACGATTATTGATCCGTGACCAAAAGTTTATTAACGAGAGATTTATATTTATTAATCGTTTTGCATTATAAGGATGATATATCCTTTGTTAACACACAAAACTTTTATATAATATTGACACTAGAACTACCAGAGATTAATCTACATAATAATCTACTTATTTCTACCGAAGAAATCTTAGAAAAGAAAAAAAAAGAAAAAACAAATTAATAAAATTGATTATCTATGTAATTTCAATAGGAGTCAGAAAATTTTAGAAATTAAGCTGTTTCAAAAATGAGTAATAAATTATTAAAAAGTATCAAACGGATTATTTTGACCCCTCTGATAGTTCTAGTGTTAATTAATATTGTATAAAAATATATACAGCTTTATTATATAGAAAAAAAAACTAATATAAAACTAATGATTCTCGATAAATTTCTATTGATTTTTATATGAACTTGGAGCTCCGTTAATGTTCCGTATTTCATTAAAGAAACGTTTCCCGCGGATCAAACTCTAAAAATAACTTTACATTAAAGGATTGAAGATCAGTGTCACGCTGCGCCATTAATATTTATCTTAATTCAGTTTTCTCGAGAATCTCACGTTTTTATCAAGAAAAACTTAATCACGCCTATTAAGGTAATAAAAGAAGAACGGAAGCGCACACTAACGACTAAATGACTGAGCGACAGTTCGGTTTCATTAGACTGCATTTATCTATTACATCCCACGCGATTAATATTTAACAGGATAAAATAATAACCGCGTGGAATGTAAAATACATTCCATTAGGCTGCATTTACTGTCAGTACTGAAAATCTATAGTACACGTGACGTAAAATACAGAAAAATATTTTCAGTACTGACAGTGAATATCGGAATGCAGCCTTAATTCATTTCGTATCATTATAAGAACGAAAATACGATATATCCCTCATTGATATAAAACTTAACGATTGTCGGCAGATTGTTCATCGATTTCAGCGTCAAACCTGAAGTTTTGTTAACGAATATTTTATATTAGAAAAATATATTCCCCGGACCATCCCGAAAACGCTAAAAATAAGATTGAAGATCTCGACGTCATCGCTGCGTTAGCAATAATCATTTTAAGCCAACATTTTAAGTTAACTTTCCCTTACATTTTTATCGCCAAATAACTGCGCTTACACGTAATGTCCATTTCTACAAATATGGATTAACTCTATAATATCGGTTTAAAACTTACTCTTTATCTTTTTCTAATTCTCCAAACCAGAAAAGGATAAAAAGTAAGTTAAATGGACATAATTAGAGTGCTTATTAGGAGATAATGGAGGAACACTAACGACCTAAATGACGACATTTAAAGGACGTGCCCACTCTTTCGGACCTTTGGACTCTCGTGTAGTTCGCCAAGGCAAATCGCCAGTCGGTATCAAGATGTCGGTGCAAGGGTCTTCCTGAGGGCCAAGTGCACCGCGTTGACGTATGGATGTTTTGATAAAATTTATTTCTATATTTATGCCGCGATTCCGGAAGAGACGGCCCGGGTGGCCGAGAAATCGCCGAGCAAAGTGCGCCGAAGTAGCGACGTAGAACAAGTGTATACGTTCACACGTATACCCGACGAACGTGCCGGAAGCGCATATTTTATTTAAATCGAGTTGCGTAGATCTATCGCGGGGACAGGTGTCGAGCGCGAATTAGTAGAGCCGTGAATCAGACGCGAATTCGGGCCGGCGAGACGCGTCATGATTGATTCGCTTAACGCGCTTAATTAAATCGAAAACAACGTCGCATCTTCCATTTTGCTTCGAAAAAGCCGGAGGCCGGAGTGTCGCCGCGACGATTGTCGGAGCACGTAGCAGCGAGAGCGAGAGAGAGAGGGAGAAAGAGAGAGAAAAAGATAGAGAAGAGGAAAAAAAGTCAAACGTAATAATCCGCGTCTTCTTCAACGATCGGTATTTTCTGCGACGCAAATAAGCTAACCAACCTCGTCGTCTGTGACGTCTGTGCTCCAGATGACAGTACTCTGGTCCGAATCTCCTTGACACGCACCCACATCCGCGACGATTTACGGACTGCCACGGACTGCGGCCCGTCTCGCACCACAGAATATTTGATACTGAATAAACTGAATTATATATACGATAATGTGCATTAATGATATCCCTTTTGAAAAAGGTGTAGACTCTGCGCGCCATCTCTAGGCTCCGACCATCACGTATCTCTTCCTCTTCGGGAAAACATAAAGCGGTATTCATAATTCGACCTTGTAGTTTTTCTTCTTTTTTTATAGTTCGATTTTAAATTAAAAATGATTTTTAATTTAGTTTCAGCTGGCCTCAAAATTCCATTCAACCGGTGAAATAATCTGAAATAACATATTTTAAGGGAAAATAAGGAATATTAAAGAATATAATAATTAATTATCGCTCAAATTGAATTGGATTGGGATTGAGATTAGATTAAAATTTAATTAATTATAATACAAAAAAACTGGGGGTCGTTTATGGTTCTTGAAACGAGGTGAAAATTATAAAAGTGAACACAGATTTACTAGATTTCAACCAATGAAATCATTAGATACTCTAGTGAATTTCCTCACTTTTGTAATTTTTACCTCTCGTTTCAACAACCGTAAGGCCGAGTTTCCACTGAGCGCGTTACGCGTCGCGTCATCCGAGTTAACCAATCAAAACATCCCATTTTGATCCCGTCACAAGTAATGTAATAAAATGAGATGTGTTGATTGGTTAACTTGTGATGACGCGACGCGTGACGCGCTCAGTGGAAACTCAGCTTAATAGGCCCCCTAATATCAAGTTTGGTAAACTTTGCTCTGATTGGTCAAATTTTAATCCCAATTCGTGTGACGCGAACTTTATGCTTTACAATGGACTCAATAGAGTTTCCAACCCTACAATCAGTATGGTTCGTGTCGTTCGTGATTTGTGTCCGTTTACGGGTCGTGTAAAAGTAGTAAATTGCCGGGATTCGAGTTTTATTTAATGTTTAGTGAAAAGTAAGGATTAATAAGGACTACGGATGTATTGACGTACGTACACGCATTTGTCATACATCTGCTGGACACAGTTGCAGGTACGAGGATATATTTAAACGTCATGTCTCGCCTATCTCACGTCTTCTAGGTTTACACTAACAGGTAAACTGTGTTTTTTTTTTCCTCAAAGGAAGAGGAGAAATACCTCGCGTATTCCCGGGGGCCGGCTACCCGGGGTATGTGTGGGGCTTGCACCCACTAAAACTCCTCTCCCTTAAACACAGGACAAAGTCTTAAACTAGTAAACTGTTACTGTTCAAACTGTAAACATACTTCTGTCTCTAGTTCGTCTCTCTTTTGGTTATAGTTGAATGTTATCCTAAGCACGATCTTCGTTTCAGTATGGACACCAAGACTCTGCCGAGCCTCTTGAGCTTGAAGGTGGATCCGCCGTCGGAATTGCAAAATCAGAATGTTGACAACGGAGTCGGGGATGGAGAAGGCGGCCCTGTCAAACTACCGGCCGCTTTGGAGCAAGCTCTGGCATTTAAAACGGAGAGAGCTAAAGAAGTGGGCGGTGATCCGAACGACACCGTTGTTTCTGTGAATAAATCACCGAAGGACGACGGCGAGGACGTTCCTCAGATAGAGGATGTCATAATGGGACCGGAACCGACTGCGGAGAAAATGGAATCCAAATCGAGCAAAATGAAAAAGAAGAAGAAGTCAAAGAGGAAGAGGCACAATGCGGAGAAGAAGGATTCCGAACAGAAGAAGGATGGTACGGAGGAGGCCAAGACTAAGGAAGCTATGCCAGAGATAGAGTATGTACAGGAGATTCCAAGCATAAATGACTTGGAGCCTATGTACCGCCAATTTGTTCGAGTCTTCGAGGCGTTTAAGCTGGTGGAGCCGGAACCGAGTCCGAACGATGCGGCTGATAAGGGCGAGCCTATCGGCCAGTATCCACCGGTAACAAATATACAAACTGCCGGCACCGGCATTCCGAGTAAGGTGCCATTGTTGGACGACTTTGACGACGAGGCGAATCAGCAACAGCAGCAACAGGGCACCGGGGAGAACGGGGCGCCGCGTCTGTCCAAGCGTAAACTCAAAAGACTGACGCGGCTGAGCGTGGCGGAATTGAAGCAGCTGGTAGGTCGTCCGGATGTCGTGGAGATGCACGACGTTACCGCGCGAGATCCAAAGCTGCTTGTGCAATTGAAGGCTCACCGAAACACGGTTCCAGTACCGAGGCATTGGTGCTTCAAGCGTAAGTATCTTCAGGGAAAACGCGGTATAGAGAAACCGCCCTTTGATCTACCAGACTTCATAAAGCGCACCGGCATCACGGAGATGAGGGCGAGCTTGCAGGAGCGCGACGACACGCGTACGCTGAAGGCGAAGATGCGGGAGCGAGCGCGGCCCAAACTGGGCAAGATCGACATCGACTATCAGAAGTTGCACGACGCGTTCTTCAAGTGGCAGACGAAGCCGCGCATGACGATCCACGGCGATCTCTATTACGAGGGCAAGGAATTCGAGACGCGCCTGAAGGAGAAGAAGCCGGGAGAATTGTCGGACGAACTGCGTACAGCTTTGGGGATGCCTGTGGGACCGAATTGCCAGAAAGTACCGCCACCTTGGCTCATCGCTATGCAGCGTTACGGCCCGCCGCCGAGTTATCCAAATCTCAAAATACCCGGCCTGAATGCACCTATTCCAGAGGGTTGCGCGTTCGGCTATCACGCGGGTGGATGGGGAAAGCCACCGGTAGACGAAACGGGACGGCCGCTGTATGGTGATGTATTCGGCATATCGCGCACTTCCGGCGCGGACGCGATGGACGAGGAAATAGACCGGGGGATGTGGGGCGAGCCCGAGTCAGAGTCGTCAGGCGACGAGGAGGAGGACGAGGACGGTGAGGAGGGCGGCGAAGGTGGCGAGGGCGAAGGAAAGGAAGACGGCGACGCTAGCGGACTGGTCACGCCTGGCGCCGAGGGCCTGATCACGCCGAGCGGCATCACGTCGATCCCGGCGGGCTTGGAGACTCCGGAGACCATCGAGCTGAGGAAGAAGAAGATTGAGAGCGAGATGGAAGGCGGTGACACTCCCGCGCTCTACACGGTGCTGCAGGAGCGACGCACGGAAGGTCTAGGTGCCAGTATGATGGGTAGCACCCACGTGTACGACATGACAGGTGCGGCAGGTGGCCAAGCGCCACCGTCCGTGATTGCCGCGCGTCGCGGTGCCATCAGCGGCAGCGCGAGTGACGCGCGAGCGGAGAAGGACGGCGCGGTGGAATTGACGCTGGATCCTAGCGAGTTGGACCTCGACTCCGAGGCAATGGCGACCAGATACGAGGAGACAATGAGGTCCAGACAAGCGAATCAGAGAGAAGATGTATCGGACATGGTGGTAGATCACGTACAACGACAGAAGGTACATATATATAAATAGATTTCATTCTTAACTAGAATTAAATTATTTTTTTATTACGTCAATTTTGAGTTATATCGTTTCTATTTCTGTTGCAGAGCAAACGCAAACGCCAGCAGATCCAGGATACAAAGACATCTAAGAAGTATAAAGAGTTCAAATTTTAAATGTATTATTTCTCTCCACGTATATGTACTGTATTATAGGAATTAAATTGTGTGACATAGAGAATAAAAAAATTAGGCTTAATATATCATTTTAATAATGAGATGGTTATACCTTTTAAAAATTTTACTTTTTATATTTACCTTTTATATTTCATATTTACACGTGGTATGAGTGATTAATAGAAAAGTCGAATCAACTGTGTATAAAAATGATGAATTAATAATAATAACACGGACACGTGCATATATTTTCCAATAAATATAATTATCTATTTTTATGTAATACAAACACATTACATAAAAGAATGTAGACTTCAGTCGAATATATAAATATCCACACACACAGAGATGTATTTGTTCAATTCTTTAGTTAAAACACATATTTCAATGTAATGACAATAACAAACACATATATAGATAGACAGATGTTTCGAAACAGTTATTAATTAAATGCACTTTTATAATTATATAAAAAAAATTCTACACGATATGCTTCTTTTGAGATAGTAGGCCGACTCCAAAACCCACTTTCATAAGCGGACGCGAAAGACATCGCAACAATACAAAGAGACAAGGTAGAGAGATAGTAATAACGAATTTACTGATAGCGCTACCGATGTCGAGCCAACTGCCATACGGCGTGACACAATACATCAAAGGCAGTGATAAACAATCGCCTAAAAAGAGAACAGCTAAAGAGATAGGCTTTTTACACTCTTCCGATTCTAAAGAATAGCTCGCGCATCCCACTAATATCAAAGGAATGCTAAGTTTCAGGAGTATCAAAGATGTCATTAGAAATGGGGAGAAAACGGTGACAAAGTGGCGCGTCCAGGACGGATCGAATGAACTGATGCTCGCCATGTTTCCCGTGCCAAAGAAGCACAATAATACATATAACATCTATAAAAAGATGTTAAGGATATATATAAGTAATAGTTGTCTATTGTATCAAAAGTGTTACAAAATTACTTCGTTAACGCTCTATTTTTCTCTGATTTAATTATGTTTAATTAATCCAGTGTAAATATCAGTCATTCTTAACAGAAAATCTTATGGCGTTTAAGATTTTTTTTTTCAAAAGATGATAAAAGGATACAAAAAACGCCGCCTTGATCAAGTCTTCTGTGATCTTTCGTTCTCTTAAGCTCCTTGAGGTAGTTGAAGTAACTTCCAACCAACACACTAGGTTGATTGTAAGAGTCACGAAGAAGAGCGACTCGTAAGATGCCGACAATAACGTAAGAGGGCAGAAAAATCCGAGCATTATGCCCAGTATTCTTTTCTTAGTCTCTATTGGATAATACCAAATGCATAATGGCGTGGTCAGCAGGATAATCCATGACATCCAATGTCGACCATCAATAATCTCTATATATACAAGACATGTAATGACTAAACGTAGAATTTCCATTATTTTCTGACTTCGTGACAGCGCATCAATAAACACTATCACTATTGCTACGACACACGCGCCAATCATCCTGAAATCGATAAGGAAAATGTTAAGTCATCAAGATAAAAAATCAAAGACGTATAAGAATTAAATTCTTATACAAAATTCCTGTCTTATTCATTATAGCCTTTTTCGATATCACCACGTAGAAAGAGAAAAGGGGAAATTTTTTTTAGGAATCTGATTGATATTCCTTTTTTAATTAAAATAATTTTGAGTGTCTGACTTGATCACCATTTGAGAGGTAGACTTACACAATATAAACACGTGGTTCTGGCTCCACGGCAGGCAGTAACGGAAACAGGCACAGTGCTAACGACGTCCAAATCACAGAAGCTGGTACATCTTCTGACTTTGCTGCCCGTATCAACATGAGTAATAATATTCCTATGCTGAAAGCAAATCTATATGTTAATCCAACAAATAGTAACACTAGTAGTACCAGCGTGCCTCCAATGTCTATGCATAGATCCGATGTGCTCCTTTCTGAAAATACAGGCATCGATGTCATTATAGTATTAACGGCAAGCCATGCAGATATTATGGCAAAGGACGCATAGTACGGCAATCTCCAGTTGCTGCACGTGGACACTGTAAGCAAAGATTAACGCACAAATGAAATGTCCGTTTTTCAAGTGAAATCAGTAATTTAGCATAGAAATTATTACTAGAGCTGCAATATCGTTTGCATTAACTTAATACATTTCATTCAGAAGTGATTACTCACTTATATGTCTAATCAGCGTTATTATCAATAGACTTGCAAACCCGACGTTCATTAATCGCAGTAGAGAAGTTCGCACATATTCACGCTTTACTACTCCACTTATTTTCATGAATAACATTATTATCCAGCCAAGCCACATTATCGATAAACATATTAAAAATCGTGTTCGTTCATATTGCCTGAAATACGACAAAGCTTCCTTGCTGAAACTAATTGCTTCATGACCAACTCGAATTGCTGCCATCACATTTCTTCTACTGAGATGTTGTTCGGCTTTACGAATTTTTTCTTTTATCTGTGTCTCTCGCCAGTCGACGTGGTCCATATTTTCACAATTTACCGCACGATTTCCGGTTACTTGATGCGCAAGCTGTTTCACATTACTGAGTAAAGAACGTGCGAGGTATTCGTGATAATTTATATCAAAATACTGCCACGGTAGTGCACCCTAAAAAAGTATTTCAAGAGTAGATATTTTATACAATATATACATATGTATATTAAATAATATTAAAATTGTTTTAAACTGTGTAGTTCATTCTATTAAAATCTCTTATGTTTTACTTTTAATTATACAAATTTCATACAAATAAAATCATACAAATAAAACCTTTTAATTATACAAGTAATTAAACAAATATATAAAATAATACAATAAAAATAAACTAAAATGCTCTATATACTTCTTTACATATTGAATATCACATATATTTCTTGCACACGAAATATGTTACATAAACACTTACTTCATTATTTGTAGGGATAGGAATTCCTATTAGAGATGCTATCAAGGGAGTTATACTCGCTTGTTCAACATCTTGACGAAAGCCATTTGATTTTATTCCTGCTCCCCAAACGATTAAAGGTGTTTCAGTCTCGGTTGGCAAACCGCTTCCATGAGATCCCCAATCGGTCATTCCGTGGTCCGATGTGAACACATAAGCGGTGTCCTTCCCAAAAAAGTGTTCTGTCACGTTCACAGCCTCTTTAATCCTCTGATCGACGTAGTTCATATTTTCCGTATACTCTCTGATCTCAAGATTTTTTTTTTACTAATAAGTCTTACCACTTAGAAAACAGCTATACACATAACGATCTAAAACAAATCTCGGATACCTGGAATGTGGTTTTTTAGCATGTCCTAGAGTATCACATCCGAGCAGATGAAAGAACAGGATGATTCCGTTCTGATTTTTCACCGTCTCGGCTACTGAAGATTGCAGCCATTCTAAATAAGCGTCAAACACCCAGGAGTCCAGTCTTGTCGTCTGATTACTGTTTGCATCAAAATCCTGCCACGCAGATGGATAACTCCGTCCATGGACATTTTGTGTGCTACCTATCTTTTCGAAATTTCAAAATAAGCGTGAGAAGCAACGAAAATCAATGCTGCCGCTTCTTTCTGGAATACCTTTTGTAAATATCGGTATTATATCTGGACTGCCCCAAGCCCAAGTTGCACAGCTTTGATTGAAGACAGAATCGAAGTCCACCGGATTCTCCTGCCATCCCTTGAAGATGGCACTAGGATCCTCGTACAAGCCTGCGGCGAGTGCGACGTGCCCTGGCCTTGATTCTGTAGGCACTCTTGTGTGAGATATTCCCCAAACACCCCTATTCTTCATTGCATCCCTAAAAGCAAGGATTTATTTTGTTTAAAAAAATATACAAAATAAGTATTAAAATAAAAATTCAATAAATTACCATAATATTCTTATTAATATCAAGATTAAATTCGCTAAGCTTTTTATTAAATATAGAATTAACATCAATAAAACTAAACTGATCGATAATGTTATTAATTATGCATCATTGTCCTTGAATAATGAGACCAAATTTTGTAAAATACCTGAGATAAGGTGGTGGGTTTTCTATGAACGTCTGAAACCTCAGACCGTCTGCCACGAAAAGCAACAGTCTTTTGGCCGGTGGTCCACTGGGCGCCGGTACAACTGGCAGTCCTCTAATAATAGGCGAATGAAAGTTAACGTCCAACACACCCCACAACAGAATTAAATGCATAGTTAACCCCCATAAAACAAATAAATAATTTTTGCCCGCTTCAACCCATTGTTCCTTGCACTTTCCCGGATCGGACGATTCACAATCCGTGGTATCTGATAACCTTTTCCTATTCATAAACATCTTTAATAGTTTTAAAACTTGCAGGATTCTGACGGACGAGCTTCAACACACAACACAGTATGCAATGCCAGTAACACCACGTCAGAAATGTATAAATCGATTTGGAATATCGAATAAAAATATTAAATTTGTATTTCATCGTGCTTTGTACACCTCATGTCTTTATCTTTCCTTTTCTATGTATAAGAGGTGAATTATTGAAATTATGATATATATATGTATATTATACAATACAAAAATCGGACGCTCGTAACTTACCGTTGATAACTTACCGAACTGTTGATATGCATACAAAAATTAAAAATATAGTCGGCCATCGGTAAATTATCGACATCGCTTTTTAATTTTAATAAAAAATGTATTGAAATATTTAAATATCTACAATTTACAAATATTCCAAGTCTTAATTTTATTTGAATAATTATCACTATTTCGTGCAATAATATACACACATTAATTATGTAAAAATAAATAACGAAATAATGCAATATGGAAAAAGCTGAAGATTATAGTACAAATCTTTCTGTGTAAATTTTATTTATCACCCATATCTACATTTATTTAAAAATTAGCTAGATACATGACAGAAATATGCATTTTTACAGAAGAAATAAGTATCTAAAGCCTTGCTCGGGACTAGCACAAGTTAATTCGCAATCCAAACGTGGATTGCGACGCGCAATGCGGAACAAAATTTTGTTACGTACATTCCCGTGTTGCGAATGTATCTTGTTTTAATCCCAGCACCAGTTTGCAACATTGTAATATCTTCAAGGTATCTTTAAGTTACATACGTCTCAAAGAGAAGTATAAAACGTCGCTTAGCTCAGCTTATCTCCTTTCAATTCATTGTTATAATACACTATAGCACGCGCTATCAAGGACGTGCCGTCTGTGTTTGCTTCCGTTGAGTTTTTGCTATTTTTATTAGGATTCTTTTTCGGGTCGTCTTCCTTATTATTGTTATTATTCACTTGCCACGAAACTGGCTCGGGTAACTTGTGCTTTGTGTGCCTCGCTAACTCGTTGACCGCGCTCAGGAGATAATTGATCTGTGCTTCCTGTTGCAACGTAGTGTTATGCAACATTTGAATGTCGTCCGTGAACTTCTGTAGTTGTGTCTGACGGACCTCCTCTCTCTTCGCCTCTTTCACGGCTTGCCTGTTGTACTCCAGTATCACACATGCCCCAGCCACGCTGAAGATAATGAACTCGCTAATCAGACTGGCGCCCAAATCAATCGCCATAGCTTCGTTCAACTTGGCGACCTTCGTAGGCTTACCGAGGTTCATGACATACATCTTCCCTTTTACTTCTGCCCAATGATAAACTGTAAATATGCAAAACAATGACAATCACATGTTACAATGGTACGAATAATAAACTTTGATATATCGCGTGAAAAAGATAAAAAATACACTCACACTGAGCGGGCGGTATGATGAAATAAGTTCTGAAAATAGGATGACTCTTTGCCTGATTGACAATAAACTTGGCTAGAGGTTTACTGATCTGTTTGACAAACAGCACGCCCAATTTGAGGGCTGGAAATACACCGATCGCCATTGTGTCGTCTCATCTGGTCTAATCGTTGCAAAGCATATTTTTCTCCATCAGCAGATACCTGCCAGGTCGAGCGCGAACTCCACCATCGCCGTAGATCTTCGCGAACGATAACAGATCGCTACGAGGAGTATGTATGTACGAAACCGCGAGGATGCAGGTGGATCAGCCAATGGCGGTGAGAGACAGAGAAAGCAATGTCGCTCACGTCGCTGTCGAGCGGCCGGAAATTAACTGATTCATGAAAATTTGCCCAAATCGAGATCTCATACGCGGTGTTTCGCGCCGAAAGAAATAAGGAAACATGAGAATCAATCAAACAAAGAAATATCTTTTCTTTTTTTCTCTTCAAAGTGCAAAAAGTTTAGCTGAAAAGAACAGGAGCATTGAGAATTGAGAATTGGGAATTGGGAATTGAGAATTGAGAATTGGGAATTGGGAATTGGGAATTGGGAATTAAGAATTGGGAATTGAGAATTAGGAATTGGGAATTGGGAATTGGGAATTAAGAATTGGGAATTAAGAATTGGGAATGGGGAATTAGGAATCGGGAATCGGGAATTGGGAATTGGAAATTGGGAATTGAGAATTGGGAATTGGAAATTGGGAATTGAGAATTGGGAATTGGGAATTGGGAATTGAGAATTGGGAATTAGGAATTGGGAATTAAGAATTGGGAATTGGGAATTGGGAATTGAGAATTAGGAATTAAGAATTAGGAATTGGGAATTGAGAATTGGGAATTGGGAATTGGGAATTGAGAATTGAGAATTGTCTGTCCTCTTCTCGCTCGAAGCTTGCCGAGCGCCGGGCCGGCCGAGCGCGGCCGCTGCGGCCAGAATATCCCCTCCAGCTGGCTAGTTCAGACACGAACCATTAGCACGGACGCAAACCATGTGCGGTTACCGAGCGAAACGACGTAGTTGAGTTGCACTTTACGTATGCGCAAACTCTGCTCTAACAGAAAGGCTGCAACGTGATTGGCTATCGCACAGTTTTTAGCCAATAAGCTTGCAGCTTTTCTGTTAGAGCAGAGTTTACGCATACGTTTGTCAATAGAAAATCCGGGCCCCGAGTTTACATCGATCACGCGTATTAAATAGTAAAAAACTAATAAATTAGTTTGATTATTGGTTGACCAGTTGAAATATACTATTTGATACGCGTATCAAGAGATCGATGTAAACTAGGCCTCTGAGTATATTATTTTTTTTTACTCCGCATTAGAAGAAAAAAGAATAAATAACTCTTATTATAATAATAACAATACGCACAGATATGATTAAAGTACGAAGTGCAGAAAGTAATAATTAAATTAAAGAATTGGAGAGAAAATAATTAAATCAGAAAGAAAGAATAACACACATCTCTCTTCTAAGAACAAGAAAAAGCGAAGGAAATTTCTTTTCTTCCCTCTACACGCTAACGTGACGTAAACTTATAAATCGAATTGCGGAACGCAGCCTTGGAATGCGAGACGGACGCGTCTCTTGCTCCGATATATATTCACAGAGAGGAGTAACATATATAGAGGCAACTAACCAGCCCGCGGGGGCTGGAAAACACCGCGTGGACGGTGGGGTCACCCGGGGGTCATCGGGATCCGATTGTCCCGAAAGGGGGATCGATATTTCGCCGTTTATTTCGACGCCGTCAGCCGTTGCTACGTTTTTCCCCTCTCTCGATTCCCCCTCTCTCTCTTGTCTCGTTTCTCGTTCTCGTTCTCCACCATCGATGATACGACTCGTTTCTCGTTTCGAGCGCGCGGCGAGAATAAACGACTGGAAAAAGACGGGTCGGCGACGATCTGCGAATATCGCGCGTCCTAAGACCGAGCGGGACTCGGTCGACGGATTTAACCCCACGACCCCCACGTCATAATGACGTGCCGCGCGTTATCGCCGTGCGAGCTCGAGGTGCGACTCTCCAACACTTCGAGGATAACTGAATAAGATCATCTGCTTTCCGGAGTTTCCTTGTTTTCCCGGCGTTTTCTTCCCGGTGTAATCGAGCGAATATAAGCTTGATAACAGACCGACTGGATAAGGCCAGGGAAAGCCCGTTCATCCGCGCGCGAATAAGCACAGATAAAATATCACGTTTTTGCACGTGAAAAGATATTAATGTAACGATAAAAAAAAAAAAATTAACATCCAAGGGGCATTTCTTGACAGATCAAGCAAAGTGATGTGCTCGTCTTTTCCGTCAGATCGATTTTTCCTTCCGTTATCTCGTTAGACGAGAATTTACTTCGGACAGTGACGGAACGCAACGCGCTACGAGAGAGATATATACGATCGCACGTAGCGTTCCCTGGGTGACGCGATTCCAATTCCTCGTTCCTTTAGACGAAAAACTCATTCGGGTTCATTGGTTTTTTTTTCCTCACCACTTAACCTCCACCTCGCGTTTGCGTGGAATTATAATTTGAACTTGTTTGAATGATAGAGAACGAGGTTATTGTACAATAGAGCCACGTCACGAATTGATTATTTTTCCACCAAGTGTCTGTATGTACGTTTGCAGCGCAGTGACTTTTAATACTTTTACAGTTCTGACGCGCCGCTGTCAGTGCCAATGATACGTCACTTTGAGGGTTGAGCCTGGGTTGAGCGCGGTCTGTATGTGCGGATAAAAGTATATAGTCCCACGATGTGGTCCTTCTTCTCGAGAGATCCCGCCAAGGATTTCCCGTACGATATCGGGGAGCCTATCCCAGGTTTGGAGACCAAGAGTATTTGGACAATACACAGGGCTAAGAGAAAGGTAATTCGATTAGCTGCAGGAATAGTAGCACCAAAGTACACCGTATTTTATTCATTTCACTAATTTATTACGACTAATTGATCAGCGGTGGCAAAAGTTCTTCTATCTTTCCAACTTATTGGTGAAAAAAAATATTATTTTTATCCTTGCAAGATCTTCCGCAGGGCACCACGATGGGCGAGGATGTTTCGGTTTTCGTCTTTGACGTTAAAAACGGAGGAGAGAAGCAGCTGGACATTGCCCGCGCGGCTGTGAAAAGACTCAAGACGCTTAGACATCCGAGTATACTTGCGTATCTTGACAGTCTCGAGGTATGAGTTGTATTGACTTGCAGTGGCGGTGCAATGGCTCTTTGCATAAAGACGTAATCTGTGTTTCGTTACTCCAGACTGACAAAATGGTTTACTTAGCCACAGAGCGCGTGGAGCCGTTGTATAATCGCTTAATCGAAATGCAAAAATGCAATTCCGAGAATGAGTCTAAGAAGGAATTGTACTTCTCCTGGGGCATATTTCAAATTACGGTATGTATAAATGAAACATTGTACGTCAACATCAGAGATTTTTAAGCAACAGAAAGAGAGAGAGAGAGAGAGATCTGTAATACGTGTTCAATTTGATGGCAGAGGGCACTTAACTTCTTAAATAACGACGGGAATTTACGGCATAATAATGTCAATCTGTGGACAGTGTTCGTTAACGAAGAGAGCGGCGAATGGAAACTCGGTGGAGTTGAATACATGACAGCTGTGGATGCATCGTACAATTTTTTGCCTTCTACTTTCCAAGTGTATCAACCGCCAGAGGCTAAGGAATGCACAAAACCCGCGACTAAATGGTAAATGATATTAGTATATTAATTTTATTCAAACTTAGCAATATAATCGTAGACGTAACAGATGCAGTAGAGACGATACGATATAGCGGGGGGAGTTTACAAATATTTGGATTTAATATTAGCAATATATGAAACTGATAAATGATTAAAAAATAGCTCAGTTGACATGTGGGGACTTGGATGTCTGATTTGGGAAACATACAATGGCATATTTAATAATACTTCGCAACTTAAGGTCACAGGTCAAGTAAGTTTTCTGCTCGTTTTATGCTGTCTTCATGTCAAATCGTAATTTCGTAATGCACATAAACACCCTTTATTTTTGAAGATTCCGAAGCAAATAATAACAGTGTATCGAGAGCTAGTAGGGACTAATCCAGAAGGAAGACCAAATCCCGCGGACGTGATAGCGCGTTGTCGCAGTAACGGCGGCTTCTTTAAGAACAATCTTGTTGACGCTCTTTTGTTCCTGGAGGAGATCCAGATGAAGGAAAGGGGCGAGAAAGGACGATTCTTCTCGCAATTAGCGGCACAATTGGATTCGTTTCCCGAAGGTGTCGGCAGGTACAAGATCTTGCCGCAATTATTAGCCGCTTTCGAATTCGGGGACGCCGGAAGCGCTGTGTTACCACCGTTATTGCAGCTGGGTTCTCAGTTACCTGACGCTGAGTATCAGCGTCGCGTGGTGCCCTGTGTTGTTAAGTTATTCGCATCGAACGACAGAGCGACGAGATTACGATTGCTGCAACAATTGGACCGATTCGTCGATCACTTGCAATCGGCTACCGTTAACGAAGCTATTTTTCCCCAGGTAAAGCTTTATTGGGTGCTATTAGACTTTATCAATTGTTTATATTATAATGAAAATAGTATGGCAATTTTATATCTCTAACGATTTTATAAAAAGTTTTTAGTAAATATATTTAATTTTGAATTTTTATTGCATTTATAAGTCAATAATTTTTTACAATAATACTAATTAATTACTTTCACCATAATATCTCTCTATAATAATAATATAATGTTATTTTAATATATGTTAAATATATAATTCTTTGCAGGTAGCAAGGGGCTTCCTCGACACAAACCCGGCAATCAGGGAAGAAACGATAAGATCGGTCGTACATTTAGCACCAAAGTTAGATTATAATAATCTTAATGTCGAGACTTTAAGATACTTTGCAAAACTTCAGTCGAAAGACGAGCAAGGCGGTATTCGCACAAATACCACAGTTTGCCTTGGAAAAATTGCTCAACATCTTCATCCTCAGATAAGGCAGAAGGTTAGCCTTTTCTGCTTAACCAACTTAATATTTTTTAAATATATATCTACTCCATATTTCTTTTTTTAGATTACTCTTCTTTTAGAGTCTTCTTATTGATCAGGGGGGGTAGACTTTTTATATATTTTTTAAATGTCACACTATTTTAGTCCCATATTCATATATAAAGAACAATAAAACAATTTAAAATTAATAAAATAATATAATTTATATAATACATTCATGAAATATTATTGAATCAATTAATAAATGTAATTTTAGGTATTGATTGGCGCGTTTATCCGTGGAACTCGCGATTCTTTTCCGCCAGCCAGAATTGCCAGTATACTGGCTCTGGCCGCAACGCAGCAATATTTCCTGCTACAGGAGGTCGCAAATCGCATTTTACCGGCTCTATGTCCACTTACCACGGACGTGGACAAAGGTGTACGAGACAATGCATTCCGTATCATCCGAGGTTTTTTATCAAAGCTTGAGACGGTCTCTGAAGATCCCGGTCTTCGCGAATCAATGGGTGAGCACTGCATATAGCACTAGTATTTCATAATTAGATATTTTACAGCTATTCTTTGAGGAAACTTCGATAGAAGATACTGAAATCTAATGTCACTAAAATGTTTGTAGAGGCGGATGTGAATACTGCAACACCCAGTCTCAGCAATGCCGCGGCGACATGGGCCGGATGGGCCGTTACAGCAGTTACGGCGAAATTCTATCGCAGCCAGTCAGACACGCCAAAATCATCCAATGCTCATAGCACATCTAGGATCTTGTTAAATAAACCCGCTTCCTTAGGTTAGTATAAATTCTCTTTACCAGCACTTTCATGTCCATGGACATTTTTTCACTCCGAAGTAATTTATTTAGTAGCATATAGATATATTAGTGATAGTTTCTTTAATTGTTTTAGAACAAGCCAGCAGCTCCCAGAGCAGCGCTAGCACTACTGCCACGACGAGCAGCGCGACAAGCATGACTTCCCTCGATCCCGATCACGAGCACGATACGCAAAACACTCAAAATACAAATTCCGATTGCGATTGGGATTGCTGGGACGCCGATAATTGGGGGGACATGGAGCAGCAATCCACCACTACACCATCGATGCCATTGAATCCAGCCAGTAGTATATCACCGTCCGGCCATTCCCCTAAGGCTAATGAACAGTGGACCAGCCTTGAGGAAGAACCGGTTTGTCACTTGGCGTTTTATTATATTTGTCTGTTAAGTCAAGGTTCTTCTCGGATATCCTATCTAACCTGATATGTTAATGCGAGTGATATGAAGGGTACGAGCGTACGGCCGCAAATTCTAAATCTATAACAGCGGAATTTTTCGGCCAATCTCGAGTTCTTTTTTATCTAATAAAAATATTTCAATATATCAATAGCATTTAAATTAAGGCATTAAAGGAAATGAAAGAGCAAGCCAAAAATATATAATTTTGTTATATAATGCTTAGATTAAATGTTTAATATGAAATATTACATAATAGTAAAAATGACGTTGCCATACGAATTTTGGAACAACCTATATGTACACATATGGATACGCGAATAGATAACGAGATAATTCAGTTGTCCGGATGATCATATATTTTGATATCGTTATCAGCAACGTATAGAACATTTGTGGTGTTTTACAGGAAGAAGAAACAACCCAAGGTGTTCAAGACAAAAACGATTCTTCCGAAGTAGGATGGGAAGATTCGGAGTTTCAGTCTCTCGAAGATGTTCCCTTAGAGCCCTTAGAGCAACCAAGTATATCTGACTTGATTTCTAAGCACATACATGTACATACAAATTTCATTTCATTAGTTATTACAAAAAAATCCCTTTTTTCTGCGTAGGCGTTCCTAGTGGAAACAATAAATACGAAGAAGCAAGAAGGAAGAGAGAAGAGCGCAAGTTGGCCAGACAAAGGCAGATGGAGGCGAAACGAGCGGTGAAATTACGAGCCAGTCCAGCTGCGAAGAAGATTTAAGCGAATCAAGTAAATGCTCCGTATGTTAATCATTCTATTGTACATTAAGCAAATTAAATATTACAAGTAATATGATGAAAGTATTTTCTGTAAATTTTATCTAATGTAAGAAAGAAGTTAATCCAAAAACGTTTTCTACAACATTATTTATTAACATTATATGCATGAAAAAATATACATATGTTAAGTAAAAGTTAAATTATTTTATTTAACAATTATTATTTTTTTACAACCTATACAGTCTATAATATAATGCGACAGTATATTTTATACGCATGTAGGACCCATTTTTTCGAAAAATTGGTACATGCGCGCGCGCGCACGTACACATTAGTTATGTGATACTTATGTTAATAGATAAAAAAGATATATATAAAATAATTTCTTTTAATTTACGCAAGTGTTAGTACGATAAATTTTCTCTCTTATAAATAAAAAAAAAGCATATTGATTTCTTCTTAAATTCTTTCGTAAAATAATGAGATTTTCTTCATAGAGAGAACATACGAACGTTTCCAACATTTTGTTTAATAAAAGAACATTTGTGTCCAATTTATATCCAAATGTTCTTTTAAATTTTAATATTAGGGATGTAATGTTATATTTCAGTTCATATGTACGCTGTACCATGAATAAGTACCCGATTGCCATTACCGATAGATAAGATCATCGGTAGATAAGCCAATTACTATAAATGAGACTGTTCAGTGGCATTTTCACTGTGGAAGCGCATATTGAGATAATTGGCATTGTTAGTTTCCCGCTTGAAGCCTATGTTCTCGTAGAATGGCACCAGACGATCTACGCAATCCAAAGATAATTTGTAACAGTGGCAGTAGCGCGCTAATTGCACTACAATCGTCACCACTAATTTTCCCAATGATTTGCCTCTGTAATTGTTGTTAACCACTACGTCTTCCAGGCGTCCTCGCTACAAAAGATACATGCATATGGGATATCATCTCTATATGTTGAAGAGAACACGCATGAGAATTACATACCAAACTGCAATTATGAATAAACTTCTGCTCCACAACTAATGACGCGCATGCTATCACTTTTCCAGAATTGACATCCTCAATGACGACGACGTAGTAACCGCCAGCAGTCTTCATGCTGTAGAATCTATCTGAATATAGGACAAGGAATAATTAGTTTAATTTCGTTATTCGGTAGAATTTATATATAATCTCTGATCTTAAAACTTACTTAAGAATTGTTCCTTGGTGACATTTCCAACGTCTGTCAATTGTGACAGGAGGACTAAGAAACCTACAAAATTTCATAAATAATTGAATTATTCGCAAAGAAGAGTTGAATACCATATTAATCTACATATTATTAATTACATTAATATTAACATATACAAAAATATATTTACAAGAGTTTGAGTGATACATATATGTGATTAAAAAAAAGATTATAGCAAATTATTTTTACTCTGTCTCCCTCTGTAGTGATGACATATGAGTCGTATGACATTTGATTACCTCTATCATAATCCGTACTTCTTAGCGGTCTTATGAGTAACCCAGCAACATGCGATATCGGCAATCTGTCCAATATAGCGGGATTGAAGAGATTAATTTCGTCCTCTTCGACGGACTTTTCCTGTGCAATGAAACCGGAGGAAGCGACATATTACATTTCTTTTTTTTTTTTCGTGACATTACGTGGCTTTATATTTTTTTCGTAAATTGACAGCACGACGTCGCTTCTGTTATCAGCTCTTCCTCAGTAACGTTAACGTGGCTAAATTTTTTTTTCTTCATAATATATTTCCAAATATGCTTTTTTAATTGTTAAGAAACGATGGAAATTAGCAGTTTGCCTATTACGCGCGAGACCTCAGTTCCGCGAGAGAAAAACGCTAACGTATGGATGCTGTATGTACCTGCTGCGTTTTGCTCATGTTTGTCGACACACTCCGTCGCGGCCCGCACGTTCACCTATCAACCTCTCGCCGTGCAAACGCCGATCGCACCTGACACAACGCAACCCGTTCATGACCATCATGACTGACGTGCCGAAACGCTCGCAGCGCGCACAGCGGAGTTAGTACGTACTAATTTCCCATCACGTCGAGAACGTAATGAAATGTAGATGTAATTCGCATGATTATTTTTAGAAGAAAGAGAACCTCGCCTTCTCTCTCTCTCTCTCTCTCTCTCTCTCTCTCTCTCTAATGGAAGGTTCGTCGTTATCGATCAATCACAAGAGCTTCACCACAAAAAAAGAAGAAAAAAAAGAAGAAAAAAGAAGAAAACTAAGACGAAGAAGAAGAAAGGAGAAGTAACGGAAACTCAAAAGAAGAAAACCTGTTTACAGCTTCCTTTTTCTTTCTATAAATATTACATGCTTGAAACTAGAGAGAAAGATAAGAGTGGTCATGGCCGCGTTTTGGCCGTACCCGAATCCTGTCGGTATGTGCATGTTTTTATGGTTCTCTTCCGTGCTATGTCCACTACTTTGTGGTAATGTCAACGATTTTGGGGTTTTCTTTCATGTTATGTTCACGATTTTCTGGTTCTCTTCCGTTAGATTCACGATTTATTCGTTTTATTTCCAAAGAGAATAAAAAAATCGTGGACATAGCACGGAAGAGAACCACAAAAACGTACGCATACCGACAGGATTCGGGTACAGCCAAAACGCGGGCATGACCACTCTCATCTTGAAACAAACGGTCTATATCTTTTTACGTTTATGGTCGCGACGCCAACATGGCCGCGAACCTGCGCAATCCTGCGAATACAAAAAAAGATAAATATTTTGAATAACGATGAGACCAGTCGTGTTGTTGTGTACGGTAATGTTGTTCGTGAGAAAAACTCGACAATAATATCATGTAAAAATACGTATTTTTTAACGATCGAACAGTAATTCATCCTTTGACGTGCACCGGCGTTCTTAACGTAAGTCTGCAATTATGTACAATAATAATGCGAATTTATGTGAGAATAAATAATATAATAATACAATTTACGTGGTGATATGCAGGTCAACGATGAGTATCAGTAAAAGAAAGATGTACGTGTTGGACTCGTCCGATGAGGATGACAGTTTCAAGCCTCGACGTAGTTCTCTGAAAGTCAACTTGAGTTATAGCGAAAATCTAACGGATTCCGGGAATGGATCTCTTCGGAGAACAGAGATCGAGAACGATGAAAAAGGGGCGGACAGTGCGAAAACTGTCAGACGACTGTCGAGAAACAAAAGTACATACGAGAAGAATCGTCGATCTGATCCTGACAATAAAGTTGTGCGAGCTGAAAGTGACACAAAGAAGTATACTATAAATAATGACAATAAAATGTCCGTTCAGATCAAAGAAGGAATACAATTGAAACGTCTTACGGTAAATCTGGAGGATATAAGCACCAAAGAACGCTATCTCGAAACGAGTTGCAAGCGTTTGAAAGACGCCATCATGTGCAAGACTAAACAAATATTTGAAAAGGAGAACGAGCTCTCCGTAAAAACAGCAGTGGTATTGGGAAATAGGGAAAATCGTTCTGCAAGCAATACACATAGTCCAAATATTGGAAACGAAACAATTATGCTGGACATAACTGATCACCACCCGAAGGAACAAGAACCTGGGGAACAATATACTGACACTTCGAGCGATCGACAGAAGGAGGATCGGTACTCCAATATTGTTGCTACACCGTCAAAGAGTAACGGACGGAGAAGTCTTGAGAAGACCGTGGATAAATCTAGATTAACTCAAAGGCGACTGTTTGTTGAGAAGGACAAGCAGGTGGAAGGGCAAACGAAATGTAGAATTATCGATGATATCGTTCTGAAGAAAAATTTGCCATTACTTTCTCTAAGACGAGCGAATCGAAGTGGCAGCCCTATATTAAGCGGTAGTAACAGAAGGCTCAGCTTGGTCAGAGCGCGGTCCAAGTTGCGTTTGCAAAATCAGTTTGAAAGCCATAACAACACATATTCGACTGTACACTCTGTTCAGAATATAGATATAGGGATGCCCGTTGTTTGCTCCACTTTCATCGAGGATAATGCAATGGCTGTTGACAAAGGAATTGACAATGATGCGGACACATCTCGTGCCACACACACAACGAATAAAGTGATATCTATGGAGATGACGGAAGTTTATGGCGGCATTCGTACGAGTAAGGAACACGTGTCTCTGCAAAATAAAAATTTAGATGCAAATAACTGTAACGGAAACAGAAAGGAAGAGAAATCCAAAGAAGATAGTATGAAGCGAACCAAAAATGTATCGCGCCTAGAAAACGTTAAGCATATGAACAAAATTTCTGTACAAAATAATACCGCGCATTTTAATTTACCCTGCACAGATAATGCAAATGACCAGGACGTAGCAAGTGTCCACACAGATACAACAGCTATACCTATGCAGATATCCATTGAAGACTCAGCAGCTGTTACAAAGACACGTGATGTGTTGCAAACGCATAAATGCGACAGTAAGACTAAATATCAAAACGAGAGACGTACGATATCTCTATTTGATAGCAGTGATAAGATTCGATCATCTTTAGATGTGAATACTTCATTGGACGCAGTGACTGAAACTAGCAAAGCGAGGAAATTCAACATCAATCACAAAACGAATGATGCCAATCAAGATTTTGCAGCGGTAATTAATAATAAGGAATCAGTAATTTCGAATAATCAACGCGAAAGCGTAAATACCATTCGAACGTCATTGCAAATGAATACATCGGTAGATTCCGAACGCAAAACTTGGCAAAGAAGAAGTGATAAGGATGATAAAAATCGAAATCACTCAAGTATAGATACGGAATATTCATCAACAACACGTCATCAAGAAAACAAAGAAACGAATGACATAGATTCTTTAGAAAATATTAGTTTAATCGGGAGATTAAGAAATATCTCTATGAGAAATCAGATTCCTCGTAACGATAAATTGAGAGTTTCTAAAATGGAAGATGAAGATAAAAGGCGTTCAAGTAACAGCGAAAGTAGCTACAGTTACGTCGAGGGAACTCCGTCTCCAATAAGCCGCTCGGTTACATTTAAATCACAATTAAAACACAAGACGCAACATTTGGATGCAGCAACTTGTGGCAGCAACTTAAATTCGATGGATAATGAGGAGAATGATAAAACTAAGTCAGTTGCTTTGTAAGTATATGAATGATACGAATCATATTGTGTGTTAAAACATTATACTTTTGAACTATAAATATTATTACCATATTTACTATTATAAATATTACTACTACATGATTTACATAGTTATATTATTACATTAATATTTTATTATGTAGATATGTAGATTTTAATACAGATTAATTATTAAATAAGTTAATACTTTCTATGTTATTAGGCATTCAAAAGCTTCAAATGAAATGCATATGTCGACTGGAACACAAAAAACAATAGGAACTACTACCGTTACTTTGGAAGATACACCTAGCGGGAATCCTTTTATTATTCAAAACCAATTAACGGTCATAGAAGATATGCCTGGTGGAACAAAGTCTGAAACGGGCAAGAGGATTATAGCTGTACAAAATGCGGGATGCGTTCCAGTCAGTCAGGGCAGAAGAAAATTATTGCCGCTTAACGCAAATTCTCCAGTGTATTCCATTAGTCCGGTAGAGGTGAGAAGGTATACGCCTGAGGAATCGACGTCTGGAAAACGAAAAAAAAAGTTGACGAAAAAGCTTCCGAAAAGAAGGTCAATGCGTTTGAAGAACAATACAAATAGTATCAAGCAGGATACCGCAAGCAAACGAATGTGGTCGGACAGTGATTGCGATATACCTAAAGATAAGAAAAAGGAAAACAAGAAAACGCGGAAACCGAGAAAGGTTATTAGCAAGAAGATCCGTGTCAAGAAATTTGCCGACGAAAGCGTGTTGAATATATTACAACGGAATAGACAGAACAAAGAAGATCATCTGATAGAAAATGGAGATTCTTTAGATGATTTTGTAAAATGTCGCATAATATCTACGCAATCGAATAAATACAGATCTCGAAAGATCGTCATTGTAACGACTGGTTTATCAAAAGGGTAATTATAATCCATAATTCATCTCAAAGCATTTCTAATCCTGTAAATAATTTTTGCTGTTATTTCACGTGAAATTGTAATATTCTATTTCGCGTGTAGGGATAAAAGTTTGGTGAAGAGTATCGTCAAATCTCTTGGCGCGGCGGAGATGGAATTGAATGTGTCAAGACGGACGACTCACGTTGTGAGTACGGGTGTGCGTACGGTGAATCTTCTCCGTGGAATAATAAGAGGCTGTTGGCTCGTACCTTTAGAGTGGGTTCTGAAATCCTTGGAGAACAACGGATGGTTGGATCCGGAGACGTTTGAGATGAAACATTTCTCTAAAGCTGTGCAGGTAAGACGTGCGTGATAGACGTGAATCCATGCGCTCGCGTATAGTGCTGTATGAGTGTTCTTATGTTTTGCAGGAAAATCGGAAAGACAGACAATTATTTGGACTTTCTTACGTCCCAGAATTGTTCACCGCATGTGGACTCATATATGTCGGACACAATACCACCGTGCCACGTGACACGCTTAAGGAACTTATAAAGACAGCAGGCGGATATATTACCGAAGATATGAAGCTTGCTAAAATTATTATTGGCGCGAATGGCCTAAAGGAAACCTGGGTTATAGATTCTATCACAACAGGTGAACTACAACTGACTAAGTTTTATCAACGGAAATGAAGATACAGTTTGTTAAAATATCATAAATTTAACATTTATATAATTATTATAGTACAAAAAGATATTTGTATATCTTACATATTAAAAATAATTTTCTTTTATATATTAAATAATTATCTTTTGTCACAGCTCGCAGAGATTATGTGGGAAATGTATACTCTCTACTTTTATAATGTCTAGTATAAATCATATTATTGATACAGAAATTAAGTTATTACATCACAGTTTATTTTTAATGATATATGAAGAGTATTTATATGATTTATATAATAAGAAATTTAATTTATAAAACAATTATATAAAGTGAGATTTCTAATCATTAATAAGTGTGAGCTGTAATGTTAAATATTTTTTTTAGGTACATAATATTTACTTGTGTCACCACATACACACACACAAATCATACATTATATACACAATCATTATGTATACAAATGTAAGAGATATATTTTGTAATTACAGTTCTTTACATAAACCTGCTATATAAACCTCGTTTATCATATCCCAATATATCTGATTTTGCGCGTTGTAACTGCGATAAATCCAATGAAAAATTCGGAGTATCGTGTTTTTTTTATCAAGTTAAAATACACACGCGCGCACACACACACACCTGTTCCGTTTAATCTTATCGCAAAATTACTGCTGTGGGAACTCTATTTTCGACAGTTAAAGATAACATTATTCGATAAAGCGACAAGTAGGCTGGCTCGATTAAAACGCGTGTTCCTTCTGGCGTGACAGATGACGGAACGCGGTACTACATACATATGTATTCATACGTGGAACGCGTGGGTATGCCCGTATTGGCCCGTAATGACATTTCGCGATATACACATATACGTCCGAAGAAATGCGGAGCAACGCGAAGAACGGAGTCGGGTTAGGTTAGGGTTGGGTTACGCTCGCTCGGACACTTTCGTCGTGTGACTAACAGCCAGCGGCACGCACGGCGTGTGCGATGTGTCAAATTGACACGCGTTTGCTAACATGCACCTTCGCATTCGTTTAACGGCGCACTGACTCACGGCACTCACGCGTCACGGCGACTCGGCCGACAATGGATTACACCTACGAAAATAAGTGAGTGGCGAAATTCGCACCGTACCTGTTTCTTCTTTCCCCGCGCGTTCGCGCTTCGGAGTTCGGGCTTCCAGTCGCTTATCGCATTTATCTTTCGCATTGTTTGCACAATCCGCGGACTGCCTTTCGCGTACACCGACATATGTACATCGACTAGCACAGTGTGAAATTAACGACAATGCTGGACAAGTCACTCGACACGCGCGAGTAAAAGTAATGGAATAGTACGTTGCGTACCTTTTGCGGTCGTGTGTATATACTTGCTTCTTTGGATAGATCGTATCCTAACGTATCGCTGCCCGTTGCCATGTTACTGCTTGTCAGCAAGCGTAATTTGCACGCGCACTCCCGAGAATGACGGACGCGGCGTGTCATTGTTGTAGGATCGCGCTTCTTCTATCATAACGCTCTCTGTTACAATGTCAAACATTTGATTTACCGTATTGCAGCATGGGTCCTCCTTCTCCTTCCGCGGACACGTGCATTCCATTTCCCAGGAACAATAGAACAATAATCACAGATGCGTACGCAGGAATACCCGAGAACTTGTTGCTAAATGTAATAGGATTTCTGGTAAGACTTTGATCTCTATCGTTTACTATTATTTGATACATATGTTGTAGTAAGAGATAATGATATACGACGTTGTACAAAATATTGACGTTGTTGAGTTAAATACTCTATAGTGTCTAACGTAACGCTAATATTATTGTTAACAGCTTTTAGTTATTTTATTTGGTTTATTACGTAAGAAAGCGTGGAACTATGGGCGCCTCGCGCTGTTACACAAGTCCGACAACAGATGGATGGAGCTGTTCTATGGTGTTAATGAAAACAGAGACACTGATCCCTTGTGTATGGAAGCTTCTGTCAATTCTCAACTCTCCCAACTGGATAGAGGATTTTTCACGTGGATTGTTACCGCTTTTAAGATTACGTTAGTACTCGGTGCATTTGGAATATTTTATTTGTGTCTCTCATTACGGTATTTCTAATGTGTGACTTATTTGCTCATAATAATCTTACAATTGCAGGGACGATGAATTATTACAACGTGCAGGGCCCGATGGGTTGTTATATATCATGTTCGGCCGTTGCTTAATCATATTGACCATCATGATGCTGATTGTGTCACTGTGCATAGCTCTGCCAATAAATTTTCACGGAAGCATGCAGCCGGGAGATAGCGCAACATTTAGTCATACAACACTGTCAAATCTGGAGCCCACGTCTATTGGGCTTTGGGTGTATACAGTGCTGCTCTTATCTTATCTGCCAGTCGGTGGATTTGTCATGAGACGTCGTCTGAAGCAGGTATTGCATATATTATAAGATAGATTTTCTTTTTTTGTATGTATAAAAAAGATATGAATGTGTTTTGTGACGTTTACGTAATACCTATTGCAAATGAGAACTTGTGTGTGGATATAGGTGCGGGATACCAGGCCTACTGGAGAATTTGTAGCGAGAACATTATTGATTACGGATATACCAAAACAACAATGCACCGTTGAGAATCTTAGCGAATATTTTAAGTATGTAGAAAAGGATCACTTTCTTTTAATCGTAAACTTTTCTTTAGCAAATATTTGTTGCTGATATTAAAAGAAATTGATTTGAAAATAATTTTTAGCAATCTGTTTTTTTTTCATGTGCGCTGTTTTTACACATTAACAATCCTTTCAGAGAAGCATTTCCTGGTTTAACAGTGGAGGATATTACATTGGCCCACGATATAAAACGCCTTTCAAAGCTGGATGCAGAAAGGGATTGTGTGGAACAGGCGCGTTTATATTGCGAAAGTTATGCCAAGAAGAGAGAACCTTTGAAAATGTATCCTTACCCGTGTGGTCAGATTCTTGGACATTGCTGCACCAAGGTAAATTGTATCAATAAAATAAAACATGGACGTGCGCGATCATGATATCGATTACTTTGTATGCATTATCATTTAAGTTATTATCTTTAACGGAAAATTTAAGTAATTGCATTTGCAGCAAGTGGACGCTCAAGAATTCTACGCCAACGAGGAAATACGACTAACAGCGCTGGTTGAAGAAGAGAAGAATGTGGCACTTAGCAAATCTCTTGGAGTTGCTTTTGTAACTTTAGGTATTCCATTTACTCAATGTTTCCTTTCCTCTCTTAAATAAATAAGGTAATATAAGCACCATCAGGAGCAACAGAAGTAACGTTTTTCTCATAACAACACGATTTAAGCTGCTTCGTGTCCAATGCCTCACAAGCAATTCGCATCTCGTAACTAGTGCAGGCATTAGAGCAGCCACACTATCCTCTCTTTAATAAAATTGATAATTTATAATTAATAGGGACACCCGGTGCAGCTAAAACTTTGCGCAAGCAGCTGAGGTCCTCGCCGAATATAAAGTGGATCGTGGATTATGCACCGATGCCATCAGATATATTTTGGGAAAATCTAAGCATCCCCAGGCCGTGTTGGTATCTAAATGCTGTATTAATAAATTGCGCTTTGGGACTTATATTGTTTTTCCTTACTACACCGGCTGTAAGTCAATTTCTTTCAGCAAGAGCACATTACAATAAAAACTACAAATAGAAAAAAAAACGCACTTAAGCACATATATAGCAAAGAAACTGACGCTTATGGCATTTCGATACAATAAATAACGTTTCAATCTTCGATTGATTCTCTTTTTGATTTTCTTTAAATATTTAAAAATTTATACAAAATGTGTAATGTTAATTTACTTATTTTCAAAATTTTAGGTCATAGTGACAACTGTCAACAAATTACCAATTACTGGAGAGATTAAGGAGCTTGATCCAGTACTTTATTCTTTCCTGCCTACCGTATTGTTAGTCAGTGTGGCTGCTCTAATGCCTGCACTAGTTACGAGATGCGAATTGCTTGTGAGGCATTGGACACGAAGCAGCTTAAATCGTGTTGTTATGAGAAAAACGTTACTTCTGTTGCTCCTGATGGTGCTTATATTACCTAGTTTAGGATTAACTAGTGCCGCAGCATTTCTAGATTGGACTGTAAATGATCGAAACAATACGGCACAATGGGAATGTGTATTTTTGCCAGATCAGGTGAGATTTCTAGCAATAAAAATTTAGCATTTATTTGCATTTATTCTAGATTAGTTCAATAAGAGCACAATTCCTCCTTATTACCACATCATTCATATGGCTTAGTGTAGAAATATAAAATTTACAGGGTGCCCTTTTTGTAAATTACGTCATAACTGCGGCTTTGCTCGGGAGTGGATTAGAATTGGTCAGGCTCCCGGAACTCGCGCTATACACTTTCAGACTTTGTATAGCTCGCAGCCGGGCGGAAAGGATACACGTTAGGAAAGCAGTACTGTGGGAGTTTCCATTGGGAGCTCATTATGCCTGGTTGCTGCTGGTCTTTACTATGATAACTGTCTACAGTCTGGCGTGTCCTCTAATCACTCCTTTTGGTCTACTATATTTTGTAGTCAAGCATCTGGTACTTTAATACCTTGACTATAACTTTGACAATAATTTGCAATTGTGACGATATATGTCCTGTAATGAAAATATATCTTGATTAGGTGGACAGGCATAATTTATGCTTCGCTTACGGACCGAGTATCGGTGGTGGCCAACTGGCTGGAGCGGCAGTTGGTGCTGCAGGAGCTGCGCCCATTTTAGCGCAAGCTGCTTTTTTAGCTTTAGGCCTGGTAAGAAGTGGTCTGTATCCACTAGCTGCGGTGCAACTCACTGGTCTCTGTGCGAGTATTCTGGGCCTGGTAACCGGAGTTACATTGCCGCTATCGAAACCCAAGGTATTATAATTTGAATAGCTTCACGGGAGGCTACTGTTGAAGATTTCGTTCAAAGTTGTACTAGATTGAATTGAGTCATCTATACCAGTATACTATAATTTGAAAGCTACTTTCCTGAATTCAATTCTGTAATTCAAATTTTACATAATATTCTGTGCTATAAAAATAAGTAAGTAATCAAAAATTAAAATTATTCAGCTAAAAGAAGAGAATGACTTCTTATAAAGCAAGAAAGATAAAAATTCTAGCAGAGCCTCCTTTTCAGAAACGTACGATTTTAGAATATTAATTCTTAATCGTTTTCATTAGACTCCAGTACCAAAAAGGGACCTCTCGACTGGTCAAAATTTCGTGGCACCAGTATTACGGAAGAATCAGATATTCACAGAGGAAACCATATCGACTGCTTCAAATTCAGAAGTGAATTTACCAAGCCCGACAAATACTACTTCCTCTATACAAGAAAGTCCGAAGCTTTACCAAAATTATGGCAGCGAACAGAGAGTTTAATATCTATATATTTGCATTATACTCGATATATATGTAAGAATACAGAATGCTTTGTAACTTGTTTAAAAAGTTATCCGTTTAGAAGTATATTCTAATTATTAATATTAATGAGCTGACGCAATTTAGGGAAACTACAGCACAAATAATGTACATTATTAAAACATTTCTTACATCACGTTAAGTTAGGTATAATTTAAAAGAAAAATTGCAAAATGCTGCTTTAATATCTCTGTCTACTTACATTTATAATTGTATTTATAAATTCATTACCTATATATACTTAATAGTTTGTGATAAGTATGAAAATGATTACATTTAATATAATTAATTTAACATAAATTTTGTTTACTTCTTTACTTTATAATAGTTAGATATTAAGAATTATACGAAGCCTTATGAAGGATTTACTAATTGCTACTCAAAGAATCTCATTTATAAAGAAGGTGAACAGGTAGATCTATCTTATCATTTCAGATCTGACACAAAAACATAAAATGTCTATTAAGTACACTCAATACATTTTAATATTATATCTCTGTATTATATTAATGTGTTAATATAATAGTGCTATGTAATAACTTGAAAAAAGTAAGCTTACAACTATACACATGGAAATAGTTTTTAATTGATAAAGCATAGTGCATTAATTTTGATCTTATTATAAATAATGTGATTATTCTTACATGGATATCCACAATAATCTTTATACCATGTATATATCAACCTTATATTTATCATGAAATTGATAAAGCAATAATTATATAGTTTTTAATGATTTGATAGATCAATTATTGTTAGTAATAATGCAATAATTGCAACAGAAAATATAGTTAAGCAGGATGTTTTATTTCTATTCTGAGAATTATGTAAGGATGCACCTTATAATATTTTCTGTACTTTTTATATATAGGGAAGTGACATAATATAATTATGTGTGTATATATATATATATACACGCGCGCACACATACACACACACGATATTAGAAATTCATATCTCAACATCAACTACGACGTGGCCCAATTAACATATACTCTTTGTCTTTTAAAAATTTTTCCAAAGTTTTCAAGATAAATAGAAACATATATATATATATATATATACATATGTATACATATACACACACACACACATATATATATATATATATATATATATGTGTGTGTGTGTGTGTGTGTACGATTTCTTAAACGATTATAAATCTTCACCATTGTAATACGATTATTATCTACTTTATGTTTGTTTTCACACAAGAAATTAGAATACGCAGCTTATTTTATATAAGATGTTATTTTAATGAACCAATTATATTTTGTCATGGAGTAAAAATTTAAATATAAACACAATAGATATTTTTTTCTCTTATAAACTGTATATTACAGGCTATCTTTTCCTATATGAACATTATATTACTATTTTACCATTTCCGCCGATTTCATTGAAGAATTCTAAGGGAACCTTATGATGAATATGATTGAACTCAGAATCCACTTAATGCACATTGTCATGCAATTTTATACGTTTCATCAACTTTCAACCAAATTTCATTAAAGAATGTCATGAGAGTTTTATGATGAACATTATGATGAACATGATTGAATTTCATGACTGATTCATTCCTCTCCTATTATCAAGGCACTAATCATCACGTATAATTTTACAATGATGCATATTGCAATATAAACGTGTACACTGTAATATCTATTCTTTTGAGATTAATAAATGTAAACAATATGTTAATAAAATCAAGTAAATTTATATATATATATATGCAAATTTTAAGGTTCTATATTATAAATATGTAAGTAACTAATATAAATTATAAGTATATATAACTATGTATTGTAGATTACATACTTTATTATTGTATATTTTGGTACACACTATATATAATTATATACAATATATGATATATAATCTACAACATCGTACATAATTATGTGTAATTAGCAGTATAACTGACATAATAAATTATATATAATTATGTCAGTTATATTAGTAAGTTTTTTTTACTATGTGTTTAATGGAGAAATTTGAATGAAAAATTCATTCAGCGAGGCTAACGCCAATTATGGCTTCCAGTTGACTAGATGTAAGATTACTTAACTCCTTCGCTTGATTTTCTTTCTTCTGTGATTTATGAAATGTCTCTTTTGTCATTGTCCTTTTATCACATGACATAAAATTACTCTCGAGATTGTGTTCTTCCTCTTCCTTCTGAGATTCTTCACTCTCTTCGCTGCTTAGATGAACCTGTGAGGCAACATTGTTGCTTAAGACGATCTCTATGAAGAATACAATGCTATTTTATAAAATAGTTATTTGAATAACAATATGTACTTCAAATATGCATATTAAACGAGAATTTATATATATATATATATATATATATATATATATATATATATATATAT